CCCCCCCCCCCCCAGGTCAGGATGATCTTCCCTGAACAAGAGTCTCAGGGTCTGGAAAAGCCACCAGAGTCCAGCCCATCTGGTCTCCACTCTCGCCCAGGACCTTGCGAGCAGGTGCGTCGGTGAGGAGGGGCGTCCAGGCTCTGGGACGCACGACGTGATGCCAATAACGGGAGAGGGGGGCGGAGCCGCGCCCCCCTCCTCCCCGTTCTCCACCCTCGTCATATGCAGCTTTCTGTTTCCCTGGGGCTTGTTTCCTCCTTGGACTAGCTCTGAGGGAAGCAAAATAAAGACAATTTAAACAAAATTAACATGTGTTAACTGTTAAAAACAATTAAGCTCAAGCATTCCTCTCCATCTGGGGAAACAGCCTGATTTGGCTTCGTCAGCCAGCTCTGCTGGAGTGCGGGCTCTGAATCCTGGACTGCCCGACTCACAGCTCAGCCCTGTAGCGGCCGAGGACTCCTGTCTCCAGGGAGGCCGGGTCGGGGCAGGGAAGAGAGAGCCGGCACGGGCAGCTCCGGGCACGGCGCCCAGCTCCGAGGACCAGCCTCTCCCAGATGAAGTAGGTGGGGAGGGTAAAACAGACAAGGGATCGTTTCCAAGAAATGCTGGCAGCCAGTCTGGTAAAAGGGAGTTTAAATAATCCCCAAACAGCTGGTGCCGTAAGAACAGGAACAAGGGACTCGCCAGTACGGGAGGGAAGCTGCTTCCGAGGCCCCGTCAGCTGGAGTGCTTGGGCCGGGGCCCTCCCCGGCTTCCCACAGGACACAAAGCCCTTTCTGGGGACAGTCCCTGCATCGACAGCAACAACTCAAGTCCTTACTTCCTGCCGCCTGGAAGAATGAGAAGACCTCTGATATTTCATCATTCTGACCTGATCGAGAGGAAGCGTTGGGGGCTTATGTGGTGGCAGCCCCTCCTGCGGCGCTGCTGGTGCCGGCGTCTTTGGGAACGAGGGCCGGGACTGGGCCGGGTGCATCTGCAGTCTAGAGACAAAAGTAAGGAACGGTTAAGAATGAGCGCAGACAGACTCAGTGCAAAGGAAAAAACCTTTAATTGTGAAAAGTCTCACACAGACCCTGCCTTGACTACCCAGGAGATCAACACTGCACACTGACACAGGTGCTCCCAGGTGTGGCGGGTGAGAGACGCCTGACACCACCTGTGCAGGACTCCTGACAAAGGTGTTCAACGTGACTCTGAACATGAGAAAACAACGAGAAGAATCCAGGGTCTGGGGCACTCTGACAGCAGAAGTGGCCTCTGGACTTTGAAAAACAGAGAAAGCAAAGCCAACGTTGTAAATTAAGAGACTACGCAGGCACAGCAACCAAACGTAGATCCATGAACCTCGACTGGATCCTGAATGGGGAAAAGAATCAAAAAGAAACAGCTACAAGGACACTCTGCGGACACTGAAGAAATCCAAGGCCTCCGTCAAGACCGGCTGAGGCTACTACCTTTGCTGGGGCAACGGCCTGGGGCTGTGCTCCAGGAGGACAGAGACAAGGACATCTTTGGTATACCTGTATACCAAAGACATCATGGTATGGTAGAAACAAAGACATCATGGATGGTAGAAACATAACAGGTTTTCGGAGAGGCATGAAGCAACTGCGGAGAGGTCTTCTGAGGCTGGCCCTGGCAGGGGCACAAGGGTTCTTAAGGCGGATGGTGCTGGTTTTATGGTGAGGCTTTTTTAAGACTTTTGACTTGAAAACTTCCTGGATGACAGATTACCTGGGTGGGTCTATTAGAATTCTCATGGGGACAGTAATGTGACTTGCCCTAGTTCTGGATAAACCTAGTTTTTTCATTCAGTGTTAAAGGAAGAAATGAGAGGCAAGGAGTAAGCCTGGGACACCACCTGTGACCGCCCACCCCAGGTCTGAGACGCCTTCACCCAGGTGAGAGCCTCTGCCTACAGCTCCCAAACGCTGGCCATCAGATGTCCAAAATCTAACTGAATGGTCAGTTAAATGCCAATTCACTTTCACGAGGGAACAAACCACCACAGACAAAACTGGACTCCAAAGCTAGCACCTTCCCAGTAAGTCCCCAGCACCCACAACCCACAC